GTGTAATATCATAAGAATTGCCTTATGGCTTTTACAGGAGTAAGTAGCAATAGATTTAATGAAAAAAGTTATCATGTTTAGATGAAAAAATTATCCCAAAAAGATAAAACATTTGGTAAATTAATTCGCAATAAGTACATGGAGTCTAATTGTGAATAATTGTCATTACGTAATTTAATCAACATTAAAACGTATAAAACAGTACTGAAATGAAATAAAATCCATAATATAATGTTTATAAAAATATAAAATATGAAATATGAATTATTCTTTCAGTGAAAATGAGTGATCCATATCTAGTGGCCTCAATCTACGTATCCATAAATAAAAATTCCGTGAAAAGAAAGGCAATCTAATCTAGATTATCTGTATGTCCAATAGTCTGTTGTCCAACACTTGTTGTTTAAACGGCATTTACGTACGTTACCTCCCAGTGTACATATCTACAGTGTAGTTCCACAAAGTTCCTAGAGGAACTGCGAAAACTATTTCTGAAAATCTTGTATAAAATATTAAAACGTGATTGTGCCTCGTACAGCAAGAACTAATTCAGTTAAAATACTAGTCGACGACTCGGAAACTATGGTAGAGACGTTAGAAAGAGCGCTGGCGCCATTATTGATCATTGGATCGTTTTTCAATTTGTACATGTTCGAATATCCTTGTGGACAACCTAGGATATATCTTTCTTACCTATATGTTTTGGCCATATGGGGCTTTCTTATATACTTCATATACTATCCAACATGCGTCAGACATTTGCAAGAAAACATCATATACATATTCGATTTCATTCCGTTGTTTGGCATTACATTAAGTCTCATTTGCTTCAGTCGTTTTAAGGTACAAATTTTTAAAATATATTCCTGGTCTCAATATAATAATATTTGATCTTTTAGTATAATTTTTTTTTGTTTAATATTTTTAATTGAGAGCATTAAAGGAGTCTTAAATTCACAATTACAGGCAAATACAAAATGATAAAATGTTTTTATAAAAGACTTTCAATACCATTAACCATGACCTACTTTTAGTTAAACTCAAGCTATGGAGTCTCTCTCATTCGGCTCTCTCGCTAATCTGCTCATTTCTTACAAATCGCACGCAGCAAAAAAGTCCTCAAATATAATTCTTTTCTTCTTTTTTCTTCTTCTCGTGCCGTTTTTTCTGGTGTACCTCAGGATTCCATTCACGGAATTTTACTTTTTAATATTTTTATCTGATTTGTCTAATGTTTCTCTATCCTCTGAGCTCGTCATGTATGCAGACGACGTAATTCTTTTCAAATTGTTTCACCCATTTGATGCTTTTGCAATCTGTTCTATTTTAAATAAAAATCTAAAATTTATTGTCGAATGGTCTATTAATAATTCACTGCATCTAAATTCCTCTAAATCATCCTTGTTAATTGTTTCCTCAATATTATTATCCCGTATTCAATCTTTTGATATTTCTCTTAATTTCGTTCCAAGACCACGTTCCTCCTTTATAAAGATTCTTGGTGTCCATGTTGATTCTTCATGAATATTCGAGTCATACGTGCCTGTCAAGTGTCGGGCTGCTTACGCCCGTCTACGTTTTCTTTATCCCACATCTTCTTTATTCGCCTTTATTCTTTCCTGCTTTTAAAAACTTCTCTCTTCTCAATTATTCGTTATTTCGTTATTTTACGATTACGGGATGTTGTCTACGTTTCGGCTCTTAATCAATAACTCCTGTATCATGTACAGCATATACAAAATTCTTGCCTCCGCTTCTCTTAATGCGTTCGTAAATATGACCATATATCTGTGTATTATCAGAGATCTGGCTGTTTTAGTATGTAGCAATATTTTATTCTACATCTGTATTATTTCTCGTTTTTTCTTTTTTTTTTGCTTCTCTATATCTCCTCTATATTCTCTATATTATTCAACACCTTTAAACTCTGAATTTCATTCTATTTACTTTTAATTCCCTTATCACCAAGGTTATCATTCCATTATGTTTCGTTTTGCTTTCTCCTCAGTCAAATATTTTAATTCTGTTCCTATATAAAAAACCTCTCCCTCTTTGTTTCCCTGCTTTCGTTCTGCTGTCTCGTGTTTCATTGCGCCACTCACAGTATTAAAGAGAGACTGTAACTGTATATATGTGTAGGTGCTTGCGCCTGTGTGTGTGCGTGCGTATGTATATGATTTTAACTATTTACCACTCATTGTATCATTGTCTTAGTTCTAGTTTTTGTTGCTATGTAACAGCAGATTTGCTGATGTCTAACTATTTGCAAGCTACATATAGTAGTATATTGTATCATATTTTATGTTTATTACTTTGTTAACATGTAATCTTTTTCATAGAGTTTTGCAATAAATTAAATTAAATTTAAAAAAATTTTTTTTTAAAACAATTAATTTTAATAATCAATTTTAATGCTTTTCATTATTATAATATAACTCTTTATCTGTCACATTTCCTGTACACATTGCAACAACAATTTTTATTCAAATATAAAATTAAAATAATTTTATTCTGTGTCGCATAATCGATTAATATGATTTTTTTTTGAAGGATTTGAAAATGTGCTTACGTAAACTTGCTATAGTAGACGACACGTTGAAAGCTCTCGGAGCACTAAAGGAATACCAAAGACTACGTAACTGGATAATTCGTATAATAATCGGAATGATTGTATACGTTTTTTGTGAATTAGCATATATTAATATTTTGTCTTTTAATTATCTTTCTTACGTAACTATGATTTGGCATTTGACGTTAACATTTCTGGATATTTACCCGACATACATCACTATGTTAAGTTCTTTCATTTCTGCAGCTCTCTTTGGGTTAGTATTATACATGTGTACACATTTTGTAAGCTATTTTTATTGACATTGTGTGTCAAAATTTTACAATGTGAAACACTTAAAGACCTTTTGGTAATATATAAAAAAGGGCCATCTCCATCACTGACCATGACCTTGACGACATATGTATTGTATGTTGTCTGTAGAACATGCATATATAATACTTATTTTGAGTCTTAAAAATATACTAAACAACAATTACTTAAAATAAATAATTAATTACTACTTTTCATCATTAAATATTTGTAAAAGATGGGTGTCTTTAAAAAACATTATGTGTGTGAAGGAAGTAATGTTGAGTAATAAACATACTAACAAAATTTTTATCTTCAATGAATTTGATTTTGACATAAACATGTCGTCACAAAAAAGTAACAACAAAAGTAACGGTAAAATTGTAACATAAAAAGTAACGGTAAAATCGTTATAAAAAATAACGACAAAACTAATGGCAAAAGTAACTTTCCGTCCTTGGCTGTAAGAGAAAGCTGTACCGCCTATCGACGTGTAGTTACGATTGAATCAGATGCTATGCCTCAGCAATAGAACAGACTTCCATATCCAAAGCACTTCATCAAAAGATGTAAATGCGTTTCAAAAAATAAAATTATAAAAGTTCCGTATAAAAGTTTTATCTTTGTGCTTCGAGCGTGTATGCTATTATTTGGACAGTCCCGGAAGCACAACTGTATAAACTCGTTTTTACTATGAAATTTTTACGAACTTCCTAAATGTCCCCGCGATTCTTTTTTGATGCATTAACGCTTATGATGGGATAAGCATATACAATGTAACTTCAAATTTTCAAATTGAATTATGACAAAATGACGTAATATCATGTTTGGAATTCACTATTAAAGATTTTCAGCGATCTTTGCGCATTTGTTGGTTGAGGAAATATTAGATATAACCTTTGCAAAAAGTAATTGTAATTCGAAATTTATACTTTTCCTATAAAAATGTTAAGGTAAATGTCCCAGTGACCGGACATATATTGTACGTCCAGATATTAAAACATAGTTAATTTAATTTATATATTAGATGTAGTAAAAAGAAATCCATTATTTTTTCAATAGATGGCTTTAGTAATCTGTATCACGCGTAGACGAGATCTTTTCATTTTTCGTTAGAAACGAAAGTGACGCTCAGGTATGAATGAAACTTTGCTCTATTAGAGAGAAATGTTCTAGAATGGTTTCAAAAGGTTGAACATAAATAATGATTAGCAATTGGTTGATACGGTCTATTTCAATCCATCAAGCGACCCCAAACATGACGTATTTTATCTTTAGATATCCTGGACAATTTTTGTTTCTCTCAAAAAACGTGGGATATAAGAATTCAAAGAAAGCAAAAAGAATCGATTTTTTTTAAATCTTAAAACGTAAAGACCATTTTAACCGAATAAATTTGTTTAATGTGTTTATCAATTGTTTAACAATTTTGTTTAACATTTCCTAGCTTACTGACTGACAAATTGTTATTTTCTGTAAAACGCGTATTTTTCTAATGGGTTTTGTTTTCATTTTCTGGAAACAAATTATAAATTAAAACTGAAACTAAATTATAAATTTTGGAGAAAACATACTTTGAAAGTCTACTCCATATATAAAATATTATATTAAAACATGAAAAAAAAATTAAAAAATTCTAATTTAGTATGACTTTTTATTACTTATTAACGCAATTAGAATATGCTTATACATAATGCATACGTCATAATATTAATGAAAGACACTAAGTCTTTTTTACTCGTTTTAGATACACAAGCTCTAGATTTCATCGAGTCAATGATCTCTTACATGTACTCTGTTCTGACCTATCCGGAAACAGTGCAGATTACAAAAGACAAAATAGATCCATCTTTTGTCATCAGCGGATAACAGGAGCTAAAGATCACATTCAATATATATGGATTATAATGTAATAATTACTTAATAAAATTACTATGTACACACATGTGCACGCCAATATATATATATGTATACAGAATGTCTCAAATTAACTTTCACATCAACATATTTTAAAAAGTATAAAAAATATTTTCTATAAAAGTGCAACTGTTTCGAGTGGGGCCTATTGTAATCACGTTATTTTTTTCTAGATAGAGGTACTATGAGAAAGGCAATGAAAAAGATGTAATGTTTATTTGAGTTTTTTAAAATAGAATTATATGATTTTTTAGGCAATATGATTTCTCTATAACCATTCTACATGTACAAGTTTTAAGTCAGAAATTATTGTAAAAATTTAATAATTTACAATATATTATAGGTACATTTTTCTCGCACATATAATTAACATGACACATTAAATATCTCGTAATCTATTAATTTTCTGATAATCGTAATATTCTAATATTTTTATGAATAGAATAATGAGATAAATCAGGTGTAAAGAAAACACATACTTGTTTGTTTAACAAATTTATTCATTGTATCTATGTATTTTATTGATTAAAGTTTAGAAAAATGGGCGACCTTTTGCCAATTTCGATAACCTTGACATATTGTCAAGGTCATCATGACCCTAAGTAATTTTCTACAGGTTTTTTAATCATTGCTTGTGCTTGTCCTTCTTTAAAAAACTATCATTAAAATTGATAATATATACGTATGTTTAAGTTTTCGTATTTTTCCCAAGTGGAGTAAAGCAGACAAATTCTCTGGTTTAATCACAAATTCTGTCCTTTAAAATACATATTATTTGCTTTATAATACAAATTCTCTACCTTAAAGACACATATGCTCTGCTTTCAAAATAAAAATAATATAAGAAGAAAGCTTAGCTAGAATATGATAAAATAGAAAAAATAAAATAAATAATTTTAACAAATTGTTCAACAAATTGCAGATAAATAAACACGATCATGCGTTCATAATGTAGTAATGTATTTTGCACTTAAGCAGAGGGAGAGTGGGTCCCTTAAGAAGGAAGTGAATTCTATAGTCATCTAAATCGAAACACATATAATTTTTGCATAACAATTACTTTTTTCTCTCTTACTCTTTCGAAAATCCTTTTCCAGGATTAAAAAATACGGATTAATACGTATCTGCAAAGTAGAGTCTCAAAGCTGAGAACAAAAAAGTTTCGAAACTGAGATTTTCTTTATCATTTCTTTGTCTAATATGATGCTC